CCATAGAGAATCCTGGTCAGTTAGCTAATGCCGCCATAGGATGTTATGTTTAAATTTTTCTATAGATTGAGCATCCATAATGTGAAAATCACAAGTCCGAAATGCTGCACAGAACAGAGCCAATGGTGCTCAAGGCTGTCGGCCTGAGTTCAGATACTTCAGACCCCACTTAAAAAGCCAGAGCATCTTCAAACCCAGCATTCCTATGGGGAGATTCATAGATGTATCTCTTTGTTTCTTTGTTTGCTCTGTGTAGCCTTGACTGTCCTGGAACTCACTCTGTAGACCAGGCTGGCCTCAACTCAAGATATCCAATTGCTTCTGCCTTGAGAGTGCTGGGACTAAAGATGTGGGCTACCATTCTCAGCTTAAAGTAAATGCCTCAAAATAAAATGGCCAGATCAGAAAGGATGTGAATTTTGTTTTTATTTAGTTGACTAGTTTCTAAAATTCTAGTACCTATTTTTAGCTTGCTCCCTAAAAATATTGCTTAGGAGTCTGTGAGTGTATTTTTAGTCTCCCATCCTTCCCAACACTGGGCTTGCTTTATTTCTGTTGTATTTAACAGCCTCCGTTTTCTTGGCCTCTGAATGGCATTGTCCATGAAGGACTCCTCCTCTCCTGGGTGAAGTGGGAAAGAAAGCCAGAGTTTGCAGAGGCTTGAGGCAAGGGCCACCCCAGGGTGTGTGAGACTCCAGAGGGGATAATGCTGCCTGTGTGTGCCTCTGACTCACCCTGGCTCTCCTAGTCCCCACCCTGGTAAACACACAGAGGGAGGGGGAGGGAGAGAGAGAGAGAGAAGAGAGAGAGAGAGAGAGAGAGAGAGAGAGAGAGAGAGAGAGAGCACACCAGGAAGGCTCCACCTTTTAAAACCAGTCAAAATAGTCAGCCTATCAAAGCTCCTGCCCTGTGGCCCTTCCTTCCTCTTGGTGAGAGACCCTGTGTCTGGGTGTGTCCATCCTCCTAAACTAGGCTATTATATGGGCATAGACATGCCCTACTTTCCAGAACCTTCACATGAATTAACTGCTTTCCCCCAAACTGAATGGTTATTAGAAACTAACATGGGGTCCGAGAAAGTCTCTGCTTGAGGCCTATCTGACAGGAGAATCCTCGTAACAGCTGATAATTTCAGGGCTACAAGCAAGTCTTCAGTTTTGATCCTACAGTTCTCAATACTAATCTATCCGTCTCCCTCTGCCTTACTCTGTATCCTTTTTGTTTAAAGCCTTACTGTTTTTAGGAAGAAGGGGACAAAAGGAGCTACTTAGAAGGAAACATCGAGGGGAAAGGAACAGCTCTTAAAGGATTGAAAGGGTGACACCATGGGGAAGTCTTGCCCGTGTCCCATCTGAGCATGCCAGGCTGCTGATGCCCAGCCAGGAGTAGGCGTAATGAATACAAGGAAGACATACAGTCAGAGTGATTTCCCCAGAACTGTGGCACATCGTCACACTTCTGAGACAGTAGTTGGTGTCCTAGGGCAACTGTCAGTCACTTGCCTCTCTTTAGAGGGCCATAAATGGTATCTGTGTCCCATCATGGCAAGCATTCCCTGACTCTAAAGACCTTTGCCATTAGGCTCAGTTGCCTTCTGTACAATTCCTTATGCACCTTTAAACTCTATTGGGTAGTTGGCTGAGAGCCCTGAGGTCCACACTATCCTGAGCACAATTTCACCTCCATGTGTTTCCCTGCCTGCTGGGTTCTGATCCTCTCCTCTAGCTAGTGGGGGTAGCCTCCCCCCACACCAAGGTGCTTGTCCTCCTCTTCTCCCCTGTTCCCTCTACCTTTATCTCATCTATTTTTTTTAAATTTTAAATTTTCATTTCTAGAAATTAAATTTTTTTTAGGTTAGCATGCAAAAGTAACAGGTTCCTTTGTGGCTTCCTCATACACATGCGTCATTGTATGCTAATCTTTCTTGTGACATTTCCTCTCCTGGAGACGTTTTTTCTTCTGTCTCATCTATGTGCTCAGTAGTTGTCTGTTTGTGGTGGGTTGGGACGGAAGGGAAAAGGAAGCTGAGAAGCTGAGAAGACTCTTTGCAATTTTATAAGATAGCTCACAGTGTTGGGGGTGGTTGTGGGGATGGAGTTCATATATGCAGCTGTTGTTGCCTGGGAGATAGGGGAAAGAGAAAGGGAAGTAATTACACATATGTGCACAAACATGAGGTCTCTCTGTGTCTCTGTCTCTGTCTCTGTCTCTCTCTCCCTCTCTCTCTCTCTCTCTCTCACACACACACACACACAGAATCATGACCAATTAGATACAGAAAATTTGTTTGATTAGAAACAACTTAATGTTTCAGTCTTTGACATTGAGAGGAAGTAGTCACTAACAAAGATTATGTGTCTTCTTTTAAAAATTCACACACATTTCATGTGTATGAATCTTTTGTCTGCATGTATATATGTGCACATAGATGTCCCTATGCCTATAGAGACTGGAAGAAGGTGTCTATTCCCCTGGATCTAGAGTTACAGATGATTGCAAGCCACCCTATGGATGCTGGGAATTGAACCGAGGTCCTTTGCAAGAGCAGCCAGTGCTCCTAACTGCTGAGCCATATCTCAGCCCTGATGATGTGTCTTTTTAATGAGGAGTTCCACCCAGATACGGTCTGGAATCCTGTTTCCATTTTAGTCTTGATAGACAGATGTAAATGCCCTATGGGCCACTGGGAAGGCAGTGGGAAGAAGCCATGTTTGGGCGGGTCTGTAAAAAGAACCGGCTTCACTTGTTGCCTTTGGCGCCTACTCACTGGAGGTAGTATGGCAATGTAAGCCCCTCTCTTGTGAGATTGTTGGGCATGATAGACAGACTGGTTACTGCAAGTGAAATAATTCTACAGAGACAATCTCCATGACCTATGATGGCATGGTATCCTGACAAGTCATAAGCTGAAAAAAAAATCTCATAAATTGAAATGCTTTGAATACAACTTGGCTTAGCCACATAGAATTGCTCTGCTGGGCCATGAGGGAAGGAGAGGTGAGGTGGATTGTTCACACTTCTGTTGGCTGGCTGCTTAGAGTTGTGGCTCTCTTTGCATTTTGCTAGCAAATCAGGGAAAAGATCAAAGCGGGAAGAATAATTTTTTCTGAATGTGTGTCACATTAGTACCTATGTAAAGTAACAAACAAACAAATATCATCCAACAAAAACTGCTGGGCCATATTCTTGGTTCTTGGTTCATGTTCTAGAGAGAAGTCTGGGAAGTGAGGAAAGGGAGACATGAGGGGCTTGTAGCTTGGTTGGTAGAGCACTTGCTTAGCATACAAGAGGCCCTGGGTTCCATCTCCATCCAGCATTGCAGAAACCAGGAATGGTGGCTCGTGCCTATAATCCCAGTACTCAGGAGATAGATAGAGGCAGGAGGGCCAGAAGTTCAAGGTCATCCTCAGCCACATAGTAAATTTGAGGTCAGGATGACAACTTTTGATACCAATTTCTCATACAGAGACATCAAGTAGATTCAGTAGGGAAACCTATCCTCCTGGAGAATGATTGACATTAGGAGGAGGAATCAGTCTCAGAGACAGCAGACAGGACTGTGGGATGGAGAGGAGCCAGTGGACCTGGTGGCTGTCCACGTGACACAGGTTACCTTGAGGGTCTGCATGAGCATGCATACTATGGCACCAATCTCCCCATCCCTCGTTCTTTGTAGACATTAAATAGCTGCTTATCGATGGCTTTCTGTTATCCTCAATCATGTTTACATTTTCACAGAGAAAATAACATTTTTAGCTGTGTGTGTGTGTGTGTGTGTGTGTGTGTGTGTGTGTGTGTGTGTGTGTGTGTGTGTGTGTGATGGCCAGAGAAGCAGAGGCGGAGTACCCTGGGCTGTGTCTGGTTGGCTTTGGGCATATGATGGGAGCCCTGTGAGTCAAGCTGTGGGCAGAGCCTTTCCGTTCTCTCTTCTTGCCACAAAGGAGGGGAATGGTGACATCTGAGGTAATTTTGCAGAATTGATGTTATGTGTGGTTCTGGGAAAGCCAAATATATCATATGGACAGTTTCTCTCCACTAGACAGCATGGGTGGTAAACTCTCTAGAACCTCTTTCCACAGCTTGAACCCTTGGCGTGTGGTGTGCTTTTCCTGGTGGTGGCTTCCTCCTGGCTGGATTTTGATGATTGCTTTTCCCTCTGAGCCTCTTGGACTTACCTTTACGTCTGTGTCCCCCTCAGACAAAACAAAGCACTCCATGTATTTTCCCCACGGAAGTTAATACAGCTGCCGTCTTGTTTTTTTCTACCTCTCCTGTCTCTCACAGAGTCTCTACTTTTGTTTTCTCATGCTGGTTTCATGTCTGAGCAGCTGGCCTTTCTAGATACCCTTGTCCATAAATTTTCCCTGCTTTGCTGAAACTCCCTCAGGTCATGCGCTTACACAGTGTGGGCAGGGTTGAGTCTTACTTGGTCCATCATGCTAGCATGGTACGTGACACCTGTGTGAAGACACCTGAAGTGTTGACATGAAACGACAATACTCCAGAATCTTGTGTCTTGTCAGGATTACACATGTGCTCCGGTTTCTTTCCTTTTCTTTTTCTGTTTGCATGTGGGTTTTTTGCTCAATGGTTTTACATGAGAACAAATGCCTTTCTTCTTCTAATTTCCCTGGAAAAGTCAAGTGTTTTGAGATCTGACTCAAAGGCCATAGGGTAAAGAGCCCCGTGCCCTAGGTCTCATACATTTTGTGTGTTTTTTTTTTATTTATTATTATTTATCAAATAAACAAAATGTACTATATTCATAGTACATTGGACCAGGGTGATTTTTCCCCACTTATCTGTAGGTGGCAAGGCTAGAACTCAAAATCTTTGCTGTGCTTTATGATACATTTTGTTTGGGAAAATACATATATTAGAGAGAGGGAGAGAGAGAGAGAGAGAGAGAGAGAGAGAGAGAGAGAGAGAGAGTATTAGAAAACTAGAAAACTCCAGGAGAATATGAACTACCCTAACCCATTTTGTGTTTTTGTCTCCAGGGCAGCAAAGGTGCCTACCGGTACCATTGGCAGAGTCACAATGTCAAGCATAGTGGCGTGGACGACATGGTGCTACTCTCCAAGATCACAGAGAGCTCCATTGTAGAGAACCTGAAGAAGAGATACATGGACGACTACATCTTTGTATCCTTTATCCTCTCCTTTGCACCCCCTGGAATAGGACAGTTCCATAGTAGTGTGGGTCTCTGCCCCTGAGCCAAACCTCTGGAAAGGCTGAGCTGGCTCTCAGTATTGGCTCTCAGTATTTTCACTCCCAGACTGGAGTGCTGTGCTTCCAAGGGCAAAGATGAGACTGAAGTGTTTTCCTGGAATTTCACGGGCTCAAAGTGCAACTCCAGTAGTGTCCCTTTGAGTTACAGCAGCATACATTCTAAGTGTCAGACCTCTGCCTATCCTGGACAAAGTCCTCCTCTGCAAAGTTCTGTAGCATCCTGATGACATGGTAGAAACCATCTAGACCTCGAAGGTTTAAAAAGATCACCTCATGAATAGAAAGGCCACCTCCCCGGTTTTTCTGAACCTTTATATTTACTGAAGGAAACATGAGAAGGGATAATTGGCTATTGAAAATGCCTGGCGTGCTTTCCTGTTAGCTTGCCAGATGCTGTTTTATAATAGGGCTTTAAAAACACAGAACACAAACCTCATGGAGACTTGTGTTGACTTCATGGTAAAAGAGAACTGTGGTTGTAGAGGGTGTTCCTCCAGCAGTCAGGAGTTTTCTTTGGATCAACTATCCATTAGTGAAATTGTCACCCGGGTTAGTCCCAGCCATGAAAAGGTCTGTGTTATCTGTACATTGGTGCCAGGATGCTTAATGCTGATGCTGGGGTGACTCCCGATGGTACAGTGTCTGGGAAACATGGGTGCTTCAGGGCATAACATTTCTTGGGTTTCACCCAGAATGCCTGAGGAGCTTTTCTCATCGGGGGCTTCTTTTCATTCTTTGCAATGCTTACTTGACCAAAACCTAGACAGCTATACTTTTGCAGGCTGCCTTGGCTGCCGGCCTATCACTGGTGTGTTTAGGTGTTTTACTCACTAGATACTCCTATGGCAATGCCCATTACTTCAAGACACTTGAACCATTACAAACAGTACTGTGCTGTTTCTCACTGACCAAAAAATGAATTTCTTCTAAATATTTGTGCAGTTAAATTCCTAATGCCCTCCTTTGAAGGCTAAATATATATTTGGGGTTGTTGACCATTACAATAGCATTATTTAAATTTTTAATGGACAACAATGAGTTGTTCGTATATTTTTAAAAGGGTTTTGTGGGTCTCATTATTATCCCTTGCTGGCCTGGAACTTTCTATGTAGACCAGGCTTGCTTTGAATTCATAGAGCTCTGCCTGCTCCTGCCTCTCAAGTGCTGGGTTCAAGGCATACACCACTGGCCCAAGCAAGATTTTTTTATTTTTAATTCTGTAAGTGTGTGTGTGTGTGTGTGTGTGTGTGTGTGTGTGTGTGCAGGTGTGTGTGTGTGCAGTGCCCAAGGAGACCATAAGAGGTTCAGAACTGTGGTCCTCTGAAAGAGCAGTACAAGCTCTTAACCATTGTGCCATCTTTCTAGTCTCTATAAATATTTTGATGATAAGATGTGATGTTTTGATGCATGCGGACATTATGGAATAATTAAATAATGCTAACATGTCTGTCACTTCCTGTACTTGGATATGTGGTATAAGCATTTAAAATAATCAATTTTGACACACATATTTGTTCTGTACAGTCCAGAGAATTATCTACAGTAGCTCTGCTTTTGGTTTGTTTGTTTTTGTTATTGTTTTTCGAGACAGTTTCTCTGTGTAGCCCTGGCTGTCCTGGAACTCACAGAGATCTTCCTGCTTCTGCTTCCCAAGTGCTGGTATTAAAGAAGTGTACCACCACTGCCTGGCTGTGTTTGGGTTTTGATTGAGTGAGTTTGTTAATCATGTAGCAAGCAAAAGTAGAAAAATAAGTAGCAAGTGGCAGATAAAGAAAAAACATCAGATATGTAATGAAACATTAGACCAGGCACACAGGACACCCTGCAGAGACAACTGGAGTAGCTTGGCTGAGAGAGCATAGATGATATCATCAAACTGAGAGTTAACAACACCCAACAGAAACTGACTAGGGAAACTGGAGTTTTCCCGACTAAGAGAGGCACATGTGGAGCAGATCGCCCCCTGGGGTGAGATTTCCTATTAAAAAACAAAAACAAAAAAACAGTAGATAGATAGTATCAAATTGGGGGCCTTACGAACATCCCCAGAAACCTGGGTCTTCTGTCCATGGATGAGCTTCTCCAGACTGAGCTCCAGACTCTTGTTCCTGCTGTAGATATTTTACATTATGAGATAAACAATAATAATAAGGTTGGAAATAGTTTACTTTCTAGATTTTCTCAAGGACACAGTGTTTTTAGTACCCTTAGCTGCTTGCTGATCATCCCCCCAACCCCTGCTCCAGTGCACCCCAAGAGTCAGGGAGGGAGCCACCTGACTCAGGACAGGTAGTTTCGAAAGATACTTGACAATAACATGCTTGGGGCTGAAGGGGAGACAGCTGCTTAGCTCAAACAGCACATGGCAATTTGATGATATAATGCACATTACAATATGACATTATTGTTAACTTGGAGTAAACAGCATCTTGGTTAGCGGTGGCCTGCAGCTTTCAGACAGATCCTGCCCACCATCGTTTTTTTAAACTGAAGTTTCCCTGGGGGCACAACTGTATTTGTTCAGTGACAGATTCTGTTGCTTTCATGGTCCCATGGCCTAGCCCAGCCATTGAAATAGACCATCTGACCGCATGAGGTCTAAAGTAATTGCTTTCCAGACCTTTCCAGAGCAGTTAGTGACCCTTGCACTACCATCTGCTCTGTGTCCCTTAATTTAACCTTATGGGAGCAGTTGTGTGAACTTTTAGTTTTCGTCTCCTCTGGTCACACAAACTGAAATTTGTTCCTTTCATCTGGATTTAACACCATCAAAAAACTGTTAAGTGAAAGACCCGGTGGCACATGGAAATGGGTAGATGAGGTTAGAAAGGACTGGGTGTGGTTTGTGGATCTGGACTGCCTGGCTCCCACCAGCTGAGCTACATCCCCGATCTAGATACTGTTTTAAATGGAAGATCAAAAAGTCTTGGAATGTAGGCTTGGTTTTTTAATTATGTACAGAGAAATGTGGGTTTGTTTGTTTGTTTGTTTGTTTGTTTGCTGGTTTGGTGGTGTGTGTGTGTGTGTGTGTGTGTGTGTGATATGCACACGTGTGTGCTGGTTCATGTACCCATACATGTGCATATGAAGGCCAGAAGAGAACACTGGATGTCTTCCTCTAATGCTCTCCATCTTATTTTTGAGACAAGTGCCTCCCACTGAATTTGAAGCTCACCGGTTTGGCCAGGATGGTTAGCCAGGGAGTGCCTAACACGAATCTGTCTCTACCTCCCCAGTGCTGGGGTTACAAGCATGTGCAGCCATGCCTAGCTTTTATGTGTGTACTGGGGATTTGAACTCCGGCCCTCTTGTTTTCACAGCAGGCATTAGTACCCACTGAGCCATTTCCCTCCCTACCCAGTACACACGTGGTTTTCCATAAGCTGAATAAAAGAAGACAAAAATAATGATGGTAGCAGTTGCCTCAATCCCGACAGCCTTGCTCCTCACCGGCTGTTTTCTAGTAAGAGCCCAGAAGCTTCTTGCAGACAGACAGCATGACTTTTCTACAGAGAACAGATTGTAAAAGCCCTTCCAAGCAGTATATGATCATTTGACATGACTTAAGAAATGCAGCCTAGCAAAGGGAAAGACACTAAACCACCCGAAATCCTGCCACCCAGGGCGAGTTCCTGTGGGCATACAGCTTTCTCCCTCTCGAATACACACATACACACGTGCGCTTTCTTGTGTTTAACAAATCGCACTAGCCCTCCTTGTGTATTTTTGGCTTTCCCGCACATTTCTTGGCACGGGATGCCTTGTATTAAGTGTTCGCTGAAAATCTGTTGACTCTCAGGACTTTTTAAATTCAGACAGCAGAATTTTTTAATGACTCAACGGGGTAGGGAGTGGGGGTAGTGAATGCCTTTGAGTCAATAACTGACTAATGGCGTGTTCTCCCAAGGAAATGAGCTACTTGACCACTAATGACTTTATGATTTAGACATCTCTACCCACTCGGCATAAATGTGCTTTCTTTCGGCAGGTGGGAGGGAGTCACTTTCAGCTCTGAGGAGGCCTGGTGATGCTGATGGATGTGCCATTCCATCTCTCACAGTCTCCCTTACCACTTCAGTCTTCAGAGATGACCCGTAGCATAGCATTCCTGTAAATGAAAGCTGGTTTCTTTCTTTGTTTCTTCTGTGTTTGTTAAGGCAAAAGAGACAGATGTCGATATATATAACTGATGCCTTTTACCTCTCCTACCCATAATACCAGCACTGTTTAGTATTGTAGGTCAGCACAAAGGGCAATTGGTGGCTAATGCATGCAGGCCAAGCATAGTTGCTTTGTTCTCCATTAGGAAACAAAATCCACTTAGAACACGCTGACATTGTCTGGCCGATAAAGCCCGGCATTTTGAGCTATTTATCCCCCCCAAAAGGAAGGCTGAGTTTACCATTCGTTCTTAGAGATGGCTGCCACACTGCTTACAATTGTTTTCTAAAATGTGTGAGGGGAGAACGTTCTGGAGTTTAGAAAGAGAAGAGCTGTAGCGGCAGCGCTCCGCCGTCCATCCGTTCCAGCAGCTTGGCTGAGGAGAATTCCTGTGTGAAGCACTTCACACTTGCCTGCTCCAACTGTCTTTAAACATTTTTCCTCAAAGACCACACTCAAACGTGCTTGGCATTTTTAATCCTTCAATGACGAGTTCAGGCTGTCCTGCCAGACCAATGATTTCGAGAGGCAGTGTGCTCTTACTCATTTAGAGTGAAGCTTGGCCCGAGACAGCCAGTTCACACAGAGGGGACAGCGAGCTGGGTGAGACATTGGTCTTGTGACAGGCACCAAAAGTTTGAATTCTGGCTCAGACCTTCTCCAAATATAGGACTTTGGCTAGTGGCCTCCCCTTCCTTCACTTTCCAGTAATATATGCAGTGAGGTTGGCTTATCACTGCAAGCTGTCACC